TCTTTGTTGGTATGTGGTGCTGAGGATCGAACCTGGGCCGCACGCATGCCAGGCGAGCGCGCTACCGCTTGAGCCACATCCCCAGCCCAGCACATTATATTTCTTAGAGGAGTTAGTATAACTTGCAAATTTCACTGTAATATTTCATATTCTAAGTAATTTGTAAAACTGTTAATAACAAATTATAGCACAGATCTTTTGAGGAATCAGTTTTACTTTCTCATCATCTACAGATGATAATTTTTATACCTCCCTCTTTTGTTGTTTCTTTCAACTACTTTTATATTCTAAATATAAAGTCATGGAAATTTCATTTTTTAAGCACATTTGTTTTATTTCCATGGAAGAGAGATTCAGAATAGTGTGACTTTTCTCTTAAAAAAACAATTTATATTCTATTTTTTTTCTAGCAAGTTTTGTATTCTAACTTGATAGTGTATTGATTTGATCAGGTTTTGGGTGTAGAAAATAGACTTACCAAGCTAGAGTACTCAAGGCCAGCATTTTCAATAGCCAGAAGTTTTGTTGACTTTCCAAAAATGCTTTTGGAAGAGGCCATTTTGTATTCACTTTATCTAATATTTTATCAGTTTTGCCTTTAAATTTCACTATAATTCTTAGATGAATACTACCTAAGATTATTTTTATTCATTCTGTTCTCTTGGATTAAAACATTTTGTGAACTTGCCATCTTACTGTAGTTAACCTAATATTCTCAAACTAGCTGCTGTCAAAGTTAATTAGGATTTAGAAATCTTTGTAAAGTCTTCAGTAGGAAGGAGTTTATTGAGTCTCTCTAGTCTTTTGTATTATAATGACTAAATGATTCCATTGATTTTCTTCTTTCTGTTAAAATATTTAGAAAGTCAATTCATATTGACTTTGAGATCTCTCAGACCTGATTACTTAAGCTTTCCTTAGTGCTAATTTTTATTTGCATATAACTTACAATATTTGAATTTATTTGTTTTACACATTAGGACAAGCTTTTAATGGGATCAATTTGATTTTGGACAGTTAGTCATGGCAGCTGCTGATCTGGGAGTACATATTTTTTTCTTCTGTGTTTTTAGCATTTATCATATAAAATAACCCTCAACTTTCTTTAACCTTTCGTTTTAGTTATCCTTATCAGTCTTCTCATCTTATTGAACATTTGAGTTCCAAAAGGAAATAATCCCAGGGTGGATTTTTTTTTTCTTATTACTGAGGAATTTGAATTTAGAAATGCTATGATTACTACTGCACCATATTTAACACACTGAATTCATTGGCTTTTTAGTATCTTTCTCTATTATTGACACCTAATCAAGCTTATTACATTTTATTGTGTATTCTACTAACCCTGTTCTAATAAGCAATAATTTGTGCAGGTCTTCCTAGCATATTTTTATCCCTTTTGGCTCTTCAATCAAGATTGGAAGTGTAATTTGATATTCTCCCTATTTTGGTGAATGTTGCTATCTCAGATGTTTCTGAATAAATTCTAAAACCATATTTGTTTGCCTGCCTATCTGTCTTTCTGCTGCCTTATATTTATTAAGTAACTATTGTAGATCTGTGTTGTGAACAAAATATAAAGATGATTTTTATAGTTTCTGTGGAATTAAAGTGTTCATAAGGTAGTTGTGGAAAAGGTAGATACAAATTAAACTAATTTTACTATATATTTGATACAATTTATAGTAACTTTCTTGTCTGGTATTATTTTTAAATCCAAGGCATTATTTTCTCTGCCTCTCACATTTAATGCTATATTCCAAGATCTTTTCCTGTTTTTAATAACTGAAAGTGCTTTATAGCATGATAGTCCAGAATTCTCTGTGGGTGTATTTTATCAAATGTCTTTGCTAGTTATGCCAGCATCTTCATTTTATATTAGTATTAGTATTCAAATGTAGTTAAAGGATTTAGAACTTCTATAGAAGCCGTATTTTAGTTTCTTTTTAAATGTCACTTTGCAAGTGTATGAATTTTCTTATTATATTATTATGTCTTCTGCATTTTATTTGTCAAGCCTAAAATTGGTTTTCTGTACTAAATCTTTTTTTTTTTTTGAGAGAGAGAGAGAGAGAGAGAGAAATTTTAATATTATTTTTAGTTTTCGGCGGACACAACATCTTTGTTTGTATGTGGTGCTGAGGATCAAACCCGAGCCGCACGCCAGGCGAGCGTGCTACTGCTTGAGCCACATCCCCAGCCCCTGTACTAAATCTTAGTTGACATTTTCCTCTTCAGAAAATGTTTTCTCTAAATTTTTCATATGTTTTCTCTAACTTTTTAATTTAGAAGTTTACTACTTCTAATATTTAATGTTTTCATAGTAAATGCATGGAATTTTTAGCTTTCCTATTTCTTGCTTAAACAAAACAGAACAAAAGAAAACAAATTTTCATGATTCTGATGCTGTTAGGATTATATTATCATATAATTATATTCTGATATAATTGTTAAAATTCTGATATCATTTTTTTAAAAGATGGTCTACTTGTCCTTGTCAAGGCCTTAAGATCCATTCCAGAAAAGTTTTATGTCCATAAGAAACTCAAATGTATTGAAAAAATTCCTTGAAAAGTGATGTAATTCTTGTAAGTTTTCTTGAAAAGTGGGGAAGGGAGGAATCACTTGGTTCAATGGAAAGTCTTCTATTTTTTTTTTTTTTTTTTTGGTTCCAGGGATTGAGCCCAGGGAGATTTAACCACTAAGCCACATATCTAGCCCTTTTATATATTTTATTTAGAGACAGGGTCTCCCTGAGTTGTTTAGGGTCTTGTTAAATTACTGAGGCTGGCTTTGAATTTGTAATCCTCCTGTCTCAGCCTCCTGAGCCACTGGGATTACAGGTGTGTGTCATCTGTAAATCTTCTTTTGCTCCTTATTACCTTTCTCTTTTCCTAAGCTCTACTTTTCTTAGCATTGTCTAACTATTCTCAGTTCTCCATTTCCCATCTGTCTGTCCCCAGCTACATGCCATACATGTTCTCTTCTTAGTATTACCTCTTATAGAAAAAAATTGGTCTGTGTCAGTTTCTGCCACGACTCTGTTGCTTCACTGTTCATCCCAATCATACAGCAAAAAATTGATTGTACCTTTCTTTCATTGAACATGTGCAATAGTTTTTTGCTCTTAAAACAGTTTAAACACAAAGCTTATTTTTTTTACGCATGTAAAGTCCAAAAGGGGTATTTTTGATTGGTAAATGGCTCTCTTCCAAAAGGTAATTTATAGACAAGCTGATCCTGATTTGTCGTTCTGCCATCTTTAATATATGGCATCTAAGGCCTCTGTACTGTTGTGCCTGGACCTGCAGAAGGGAAAAGAACATGGATGGTCATGTGTGAGAGTCCTTCTTGGGCCAATCCTAGAAGAGATGGACATAGCTTCTGTTTACATTCTACCAGGTAGCCCTTATCTACATGGCACTCTTAACTGCAAGGGAGGCTGGCAAATATAACCTAGAAGAAGAGTAAACAAGGCACTGACTAGTTTCTGACTGGCTAGTTTCTACTATATATAGTTATTTGATAGGTTAGAGGTCTGTCTTTTTCACAAAAACTGTTCATTGGCAGTTTTAACAGTGGTGACTGTATGTTGCAGACTTTAACCTCCTATTTAACATCCTTGATTTGGGTGGGTGGAATATCAATGATTGAACCCAGGGGTAATTAATCACTGAGTCACATCCCAGCTCTTTTTATTTTTTATTTTGAGACAGGGTCAGGCTAAGTTGCTTAGGGCCTCACTAAGTTCCTGAGGCTGACCTTGAATTTGCAGTCCTTCTGTCTCAGCCTCCCACGTCTCTTGGATTAAAGGCATGCATGAACTCATGTGACTTGAATTTTGACATGATGTTATGCTTTCATATAACTCCTTATCTACCTAATTTATGACCATAGAGCAAAAAGTGCCTGGAACATTTTAGTTGCTTAATGAATACTTGAATCAAATGAATGCATAATTATAGTGCCATGCCTCATTTTCACCTCTTCTTTTATATAAATACATTTGATAGAAAAGAACATTTGGTAAAAGACACAACCCTCCCTTCCTCAGTGACTGAAACTTTATTAATAGTTCTGTACAGCTCTTATAATTTACTTTTTGTTTACTTCTCTACTGAAAAATAAGAGCTTTTTGTACTAATTATAGGAAAAAGAAATCTGCACCAGAGGTAGATTTTTGGTAAATGTTTTGAGCACAAAAATAATGCAATTTATAAAATCTTGAGAGATTTTGAAAGTTAGAGCCCGACTTTAGAGGAGGTTTATATCTTTAGGCTGATTTGTTAGTTTCTTCTTTTATCCACTCCAATCTTTCTTTTTTTTTTTTTATTAACCAGATTCTGAGGATACACTCTCAAGTGCCCAGCGTGGTGATTGTGGTAGGGGTGGTGGACATAAAAATATTTACACTGTTTTGTGATAGTTATAGATTTGTAAGGTTTTGAGGAATGGTATTTATAACAGGGCACAATGGGGATTAGGAAAGAAATTGTGCTTGATAAACCAGGAAAGGCCTGACGAAAGCCTGTGCCTCACAGATGAGAGGACTAATCCATGCTACCTCATCAACTGAGCATCAGGATAGCTTCATTCATACTTTATTGTTACTTCACTGGGTCAGATGCCATCTTGAAACAGATGCATGTGTCCCTTCATTCCCTATTTCCAGGATGAGGAGAGGAATTATCTGCATTAACTGAAATAAAGAAGGGGTGGTGTTATCTGGATATGGTTGAAAGACTGATCTATAATTTTTTGGTCTTGATAGAGACATTCCTAACTTCAGTCTGTTCTTGAACTGCACTTATTTTTCTTTCCAATGCAGACAGCTAGCTGCATTGGAATATACTGTGTATTACTCTATTTCTATGACTTCTGTCAGTATTTCATTAGGAATATTTAGTTACATTAAGGATAGGTATGTCATTTGGATAAAAGGGCAACTCAATCAGCATCCTGTCTTCAGGAACAGAAAGATAAAACACAAAATTGGTTTAACCTGACTTTAAAAATTCTGCCACAATCCCCATTGTGCCCTGCTCTAAATAGCATTTCCTTTAATATATGTCACAAATGGTTGATCTTTGCTAAGTTTACTTTCGTTGGGAAATTTCCTTATGGATTCATGTTGAATGCAATGAAGTGAAACAATGTTGTTTATCACTTAACTTTTTTCCAACAAAATTGTCATTTATAATTTAGTTTAATATACAGAAGTATATAAAAGAAAAATGACCCATACTACTACTCTGAGACTCTATTAATATTAAAAATAAAATTAATATATTTCAATTTATAAAATTCACATAATACCAAATCAAAGTCTAGCTTTTCCTACTGTTCAACTCCCCTTTCCCTTTCCTAGATGACCTTTCAGGTAGTTATTGTCAATAGTTATATTATTTGTTAGAAAAAATTATATATGCCTACCAGCATTTGTATATATTCCTGCTTTCAACTTATGAATAAGTAGTTTTATCAATTTATTTATTCATCCAAAACAATTTGTTGGGGGCTTAATCTGTGCCTTGCAGAACTCTGCCTCAGAGTGCAGTAATGAACAAAACAGAAAAAGTCTCTCTTTTTTGGGGACTTTGAGTTTGTTTGGGAAATAGATTTTTTTGGAAATATGAATAAACAAATCATGGTGTCTTTCAGTTTGTTCAAAATGCTATAAATGAGATACAATGGTTTGGTATGATAATGCTGTTAGGTAAGGAAATTATGAAGGCCTCTTAACAGTTCATTTAATTTTACTGGAAAAGGAAAAACAAGCCATGATCCAATTAATGCTTGACCTATGCTCTTTTTATTTCTAAAGGTGAAGCCCCACCTGCTATCCAACTGCCCACACCTGCAGTCCAACGCCCAAGCCCCATCACACTTTTCCAGCCCAGCGTCTCCAGTACTGCCCAGGTAGCCGTCCAGGCTCCAAGTCTGCCACTCCGCCCAGCACTCCCACCTCAACGCTTTGCTGGGCCTTCCCAAACTGACACTCATCGGCTACCTTCCGGAGCCAATCGCTCTGTGAAGAGACCTACTCCTGTCTCTCTGGAAAGCACCAGCAGGATTCCAACTAGTGCAAGTACAGCCCATGCCAGATTTGCAACCTCAACCATCCAACCTCCCAAGGAGTATTCCAGCGTTTCCACTTGTCCCAGAAGTGCTCCAATCCCCCAGGCTCCTCCCCTTCCACACTCACATGTCTACCAGCCTCCTCCCCTTGGCCATCCAGCCACACTGTTTGGGACACCTCCACGATTCTCTTTCCATCACCCTTACTTCTTACCTGGACCTCACTACTTCCCATCAAGGTAAATGAACAGTTTTTTTTTTTTCCTTTCACTTAAAAATGTAGCTAATGAATTATTCTTCTGAAGGCATATCTTTTTTATTAAAAAGGGAACTTCCTCAGTTTAGAGACTGAATAGGAGCCAAGCAATTTTCACAAATGGATGGGGATTGCAGGTGAGGCTTAGGGGAGCTAGAAAGAGTGCATGGCTTGCCTAACAGAATAGCTCTTACTCAGCCCTGTCCAGGTCTTTTCACATGAAATTATAGGCTTCAATATTGCCAGATGATTTTTTTCATAGGAAACAACTGTAAGGACCTTAAGATCTCCTTACTCTATGCTTTCTAAATTTTAATGCTTAAAATGCTGATCCTGATTATTAGATCTGGGATATAGTAGTATCCTGCTGGAGTATAGTATGCTTGATAGTCTGTATTTATTTATTTATTTATTATTGTGGCATTGGGGATTGAACCCAGGAACTCTATCATTGAGCTGTATCTCCAGCCCTTTTTATTTTTAAAAGTGAGTTTGAAACAGGGTCTCATTAAGTTACTGAAGCTGACCTTGAACCTATAAACCTCAGTCTCCAAAGTAGCTAGAACTATGAGCATGTGCCACTGCACTCAGTGATATTCTGCATTTCTAATAAGTTCCCAAATGATGCCAGTTCTGCTGGTTTGTGAACCACATTTTGAATAGCAAGGAAAGAGTAAAGCTTTCCATCTAAGAAATTTTAAATGAGAAGGTCAAAGTTACTTTTCTTCTCAGTGCCTTTTTATCAAACCAGAAAATTTCCCATGTAATTTAACAATGAAGGAATTGATTTTCATAGGGAAATGTCTAGGGGAAACAAATTTATAACTTTTTATTTTTGGAGTGATAGAATTTAATGCCCTTAAAAGTATCCTGATAGACTGGTAACAACCTCTGTTTTTTAATTGCTGTTATATGGATAGAGATTTTCTTTTTTTAAATCAGGTATTGAACCCAGGGGGTGCTTAACCACATCCTTAGTCCTTTTTATTTGTATTTTGACAAGGGTCTCATTAAGTTGCTTAGGATCTTGTGAAGTTACTGAGGCTGGCTTAGAACTTGTGATCTGCCTGCCTCAGCTTCCCCAGCTGCTGGGATTATAGGTATGTGCCACCATGCCTGGTCAGAGATATATTTTGTTGACATTGGAGTGTTCGACATTTAACATTAATCATATATTGTTATTAGAAAGCAAAGCTACTCCCCACTTGGGTATACTCACTTCTCAAAAGAAACAGCTTTTGAGGATATATTATATTGCTTCAATTCATAATAGGATTTCTTGCTTTCAAATACTTAGGTCAGAACTGGAAGAAAGTGGAACTAAAGGGGATTAGAATAGGAGAAAGGAGATTTTGCTATCTGAACTTTGCTTTTTTTCCCCCTTCGTATATACTCTTTTTATCTTTTAGGAACTTACAGGAGTATTTTAGTTCAAGGGATCAAATATCAAGAGACTACTAAAGTCAGGGATTGGTAATCTTTTCTCCTTGCTATCTGCCAGGATCTGGGATTTTTATAGGACTTTTGGAGAATTTTATGAAATGTTTCCTACAGGAGGGTTGTGAGTGGGTTGTATCTCTGAGGTTTGATCTCCATAACTACAAAACAAAATAGCACCACCACCAACAACAACAAATTAAATGGGAGAAGAAGAGAAACTGTTTTAAATGTTTCCTAGATAAAAGAAAAGTATTAGGAACATAATGGAATTTAATAAATGAGTAGATTTGGGGATACTTGGCCTCAATTAGAACCTTGAGGGGCCATATCTAAAGTTGCAGAAATTTTATTTGTTACATAATTCATTTTCTAATACAGGAAAGTCTTGGACAGTTTATTCACGGGAAAGTAGAAAATCAATCAGGAAGTCCTACAGTCTTACTCTAGCTGCTATTGTTTTTTGTTCGCTGTATTTTTCTTCTTTTTTCTGTGTTTTGAGAGACGGACATCTTATGTGTAATTCTCACAACAATCATGTAACTTGGGTTTAATACTCCCATTTTTAAATAAATTGATCAGATGTCAAATAGCTTTCCAAAACAGAAGGCAACTCTTATAAATTATTACTTAAAATACTTTTAAAGTACTTTTCTGACTTTCATCTGTGTCTGACAATAATTTTCACCAGGAAATGGATAATCTAATTATTTATGCTTGCCTAGCTAGTATATTTTGGTAAAATGTAGTATGAGTAAATGACAAAATTGATTCTCTCTGTTTTCTTTTTTCTGAATTGACAATGAAGTCTTCTACAAAGAATAATTCTTCCTTAATCTATTTATATGTGGAATTATTCAACTATTTGAATACCATAATTATAATGGATATTTGAGACGTAGATATAAACATTTTTGGGTGTATATATGTATTTTATATATTATTTTAATATTTTTGCTGAACTGCTATTTCCCCCCTGTGTATCTAGAATAAAAATCAAGTAGGTTAGGTGGTATAATCAAGGAGTTATTTTGTAAAACAGATGAACACTCAGACGTGCTGATCCCTCTCTGAGGGCTAATATCATTATGCCTTTAAATCTTAACCATCTTCATTCTGTGCCTTTTGAACCCTCTTTTTCTGTATACTAATTTGATTCTGTAGAATAGTTCTTCTTTTCTCTCTACCCCTCCTTTTTCCTCCTCTTATAGCACATTTAAAAAAATATTTTTAGTTGTAAATGGACACAATACCTTTTTATTTACTTTTATGAGGTGCTGAGGATCAAACCCAGGCCCCCACACGTGTGAGGCAAGCGCTCTACCACTGAGCCACAGTCCCAGCCCTTGCAGTGCATTTTTATTTTCATATTCAAGAGAGACATGTAGAATTCTGATTCTATTGATTACTGAGTAAAAAAAAAGTGTTACAAACCTATTGAAATTAGAGATATTGAAAGATACAAAAGACAAATGGGGAGCTGTTAACTTGAAATATATAGAAAATATACTCAGATATGTATATGTGATAGAGAAGATGGGTCAAAGAATTCCTGAATTTGTAGGAATAGATAGCACCCTAATTGTAAAATTTTAGGCAAAAGGAACACAAGGTGAAAAACAATTATCTTTAACCTTTATTTAGGTCATAGACTCATCTAAGAATTTGATTGAAATTTTAGACTCTCCCTGTAATAATGGACATACACATACATATATAAATTTTTACCTGAATTTTTATGGGAGAAGGAAATTTATGGTCCCCAAATATGATAAATTTTCCATGCAATTCCTTCTGTTGTACTTAACATTGAATTTAAATATGAGCAATTCAATGCCTAGGTGAACCCATCAAAAGGAAAAGAAGTCTCCATGAGTCAAAGTGACCAATAAGCTAAAAACTCTTTATAGTAGTCCTGGAAATGCTTTCAAATTCATAATTTATCTACGTTTTTGTAAACTTGGATTTTACTACTTGAGTAAGAAGAGGTGCAGTATTGAATCTGTTCAAGGCAAGGTTAAACATCTTCATAAGCCAGAACCCTAGAAGGGCTTTTCAACCTTGATTAAAAAAAAATAGAATATTTTTATTATTGACTCAGATAAAGTACAAAGAGAAACTTTTTTTTAAAGAAAGGTTTAAGTCTTGAAAGGGGGAATAGCAAATGAGGACATTATTTTTATTTTTTCTTTTTCTTTTTTTTTTTTTTTATGTGATGCTGAGGATTGAACCCAGGGCCTCACATGTAGTCAGGCACTCAAGTCACTGAGCCACAATTCCAGCCCCAAGAAACTTGTTTTTACCCAGGGTTCTTCTATGTGATTTCCACTAGAAGTCAAAACCCCAAGGTGTCTTTCACACATATAGAATCTAAAATCACCCTATCCACTTGATATAGAAATGTCTAAGTTGAGAAATTAGATCTGGGCTGGCAATTATCTGGACACTGCTTTAGCAAAACACTTGTATCATTCAGGTCATCTGGAGCTTTCAAAGGGGAAAATTGTCAGAATATTGTAAAAGGATTAATTATTTGTAGATCTTAGTAGCCCAAGAATTTGAGATAACTGAAAACCAGAAAGAAACAAAATCAATATGTCAAATCATTAAATAAGACCTCTGTTCCAGTTGAATTGCAGAAATATGAATTGGATACACCTCTCTCTGAAACAATACAAAAACTACACAAAATATATGAAGATATGGTTTTCAAGATATTGAGCATCAGGAAATGAAGGGCAGTGGCTCCATTAGAGATAGGAAACTAATGAATCAAGCCCTCCAGGGAAGGGAGTAGGACTCATTATTCAGAGTTGTCACAATATATTACCCAAAATTTATAGTTTTTTTTTTTAAACTTGGGATTGAATCCAATGGTGCTATACCTCTGAGCTACATTCCCCACCCCCCGAATTTTTTTTTTTCTGTTTTTGAGATAGTGTCTCAGTTACCCAGGGTGACCTCAAACTTGTGATCTCCTGTTTCAGCTTCCTGAATCACCCCACTTGGCAAAAAAGATACAGTTTTCTTTCTTTTTTTTTTTTTAAGATACAGTTTTCAATTAAAAAAAATAATACATACAAAGAAACTAGAAAATGTGACCCATTTAAAGTGTGTGTGGAGGGCAACAGGAACTGCTTTTGAGTGGTTTCAGTATTGGATTTGATAAAGATTTCAAGGCCATTATAAACATGTTCAAATAGCTAAAGGAAATCATGCTAAAAGACAAAGGAAATGATGATGATGATGATGATGTTTCAGCAAATAGAGAATATTTACAAGGATACAGAAATTGTAAAGAAGAAGCAAATAGAAATTCTGTAGTTGATCTGAACAGTAGCCAAAATGAAAAATCCAATAGAGAGGAGATTAAGGGTAGAATTCAACTGGTAGAATTAAATTTGAAAGTAGACTGATAGATATTATGCAATCTGAAGAACAGAAAGAAAAAAGACTGAAGAAAAATTAGCAGAGCCTCAGAACCACCACTTCAGAATGGAGCCACTATTAAACACAATAAATTATACATAATAGGAATACCCTTAG